AAAAAAAAAAAAAAAAAAAATGACCAACACAAAAATGAGTGGATATCCACAAACAACCAGAAAATAAACCAGAAAATAAATCTAAATTATTTCATATCAATAGACTAAATAAGTCTTTCAAGTTATCCATCAAGGTTCTCGCAGAATCTGAAAGAACAGAACTTAAGTCACGAACGGCCAAGTTTAGAAATACATAATAGAGGATTCCGAATTGCTTGTGAGTACAGTACTGCTATTAAACGTTATAAGAGATTATAAATGACATTGTCTACTCAATATTTCCACACGGAAATCTAATTGGCATGCTAAATTCATGTTGCCAAAACTAAATTTTTGAGTTCCCCTACCCTCAAGTCAATCTAGCCTCATTCTCCAGCCTTATTCTCCCAGTTGTTTAGGCAAAACACTTAATAGTCATTCTTAGTGTCTTTCCTTCCTATAATACGTATCTAATCCATTAGCAAATCCTGTGAGCTTCACTTTCAAATACATCTTGAATCTGCCCACTTATCCCTATCACCACTACCACATTGGTCCATGGCACTATCATTCCTTACTTGGACCACTATTTAAAAAGTTTTTCTTAAAAAAGCTTTTTATTACAGAAAATTTCAAACATATACAAAAGTAGAGGAAATACTATAACAAACCTCTATGTTCCCGTCATATTTCAGCTTTAATTTGTGGCAAATTTTGTTTCTTCTACATCCTCACCAATTCTACTTTGCCCCCACAGTGAAACAAACCCCAGGCGATGTATCAGCAGAAAGCTTCTTAAGAGGTCTATCTGCAGTCACTTCTGCCCTCCATTACCTACTCACCAAACAGCAACTAGAGTGACTTAAAAAACATATAGATCATACAGTGTCACTTCCCTGCTTAAAACTCCTCAAAGTTTTCCTTTCGTACTTATAAATAAAAAAACCAGTCTTTTAGCTTGCTCTTCAAGGCCCTGTAACACCCTACAGGAAGCTACTCCTCTGATCTTACATCTTCTCCCCTTTTGTTTACCATGATCTACGATCCTTTTCTCTTTCTTGAATGTTTGAGGGCCTTTATGCCTTCTGTTCTTTTCCTGGAATACTTTTCTTGTGGCTGGTCACTATGTAAGTCTCAGCTCCAATATCACTGCTCCTTCCCCCAATTCCAATCATACTCTAGCCTGTTGTTCTGTTTCCTTCAGAATATTTATCATAAACTAAAATTGTAATTATTCAAGTGTATACTTGTGGTTACCTTCCTATAGTAGAATATAAGCTCCATGAGAGCAAGGGCTTAATTTTGCACATCACTGTAGCTTCAGCACTAGAAATAGTGTAAGGCACCTATTAGCCGCTTAAATAATACGTGATGGATGAATGAATTTACCCCACGTATTTTCCACACTGTATGTCTGTCCTGCCACTGTAGCAAAAATTGTAATTAGGACAAGTCTCACATGTAAAAATAATCAATATAGAACTCAATGTATGTGGCAGATTAATGGACTTTAAAATGTTTGATAATAGATTAACAAATGAAATTAAATCACCTCTATAATGCTATCAGATACTGATTCAATTTTATCATTTAATAAAGTACATAATGCTAATAAAACTTTTGAGTTAATCTGCCAAATAGACTAAAGCATGTCTTCTAAAAACAAAAGAATCCACAGATGTCACTTTAAAAATTTGCATGCTGGCTGGGGGTGAGGGTGCCTTGATTTTGTTTTGTTTTCATCTTTAAATAAAGCATTGCTCTCTTGTGGTCTGTTACACAAGGCTTGTCTCTTGTTACATCCGTGGTGTTCACATGCCACCCTACTGTGGGGTCATACTGTTCCACTCACATTACAGGAACAACTTAAAACAAAATGTCTGAGTGACAGGATGAGTGGGCTACACCACAGACAGGAAATGAAATTCACACTGCTGCCAACACAGCAACTGCTGCTTTACTAAATGAAAATATTTTTAAAATAAAGGCTAAATATTCTACCTATTCACCAGGCAAAGTAACAGCTTTGGACACTGTGGTTTCCAGTAAACAAAGCAGTTCTCTACATGTACAAAGGAAGTGTGTATATTTGTTGAACAGTTTAAAACAACATACTTCAGTCATTCCTTTTGTGACACAGAGGTAGTTTCTCTTTGACAAACACTATTTTAAGAACTTCCTGGTGTTCGGAGTTCTATAATACTGTTCTTGATAGATACATTTGTGGCTTATGCTTTAAAGCATATCTAAGTACATTCCTCCTTTAAAGCATACCTAAATGTATTCTTTAAAATGTATGTAGTGCTTTCTCAAGGTAAGGGTTAAGGAACTGGACAAGGGCCATGGGTTAATTTAAAGCCACCTGGACTCCAAAAAGTCCTGATTATCAAAGAAAGGCGAGGAGTCAAACTCACATAGAGTATAAAGGAAAAGAGGCTTTCCAATTTGAAACACAAATGTCAACACAATTTTCTGATGGAACAAAATGCACAGCAGACCTAGGTAGGCCAGGAGACTACTGTTTTTTTTTTTTTTTTTTGAGATGGAGTCTCGCTCTGTTGCCTATGCTGGAGTGCATTGGTGAGATCTCGGCTCACTGCAACCTCTGCCTCCCAGACTCAAATGATTCTCATGCCTCAGACTCTCAAGTAGCTGGGACTACGGGCATACGCCACCATACTCAGCTAATATTTTTTTTTTTTTTTGAGAAGGAGTCTCCCTCTGTCTCCTAGGCTGGAGTACAATGGCACAATCTTGACTCACTGCAACCTCCACCTCCTGGGTTCAAGTGATTCTCCTGCCTCAACCTCCCGAGTAGCTGGCACTACAGGCACTCCCCACCACACCCAGCCAATTTTTGTATTTTTAGTAGAGACGGGGGTTTCACCATGTTGGCCAGGCTGGACTTGAACTCCCGACCTTGTGATCTGCCTGCCTTGGCCTCCCAAAGTGTTGGGATTACAGGCATGAGCCACCGTGCCTGGACTTACCCAGCTAATTTTTGTATTTTTAGTAGAGACAGGGTTTCACCATGTTGCCCAGGCTGATCTCAAACTCCTGACCTCAAGGGATCCATCTGCCTTGGCCTCCCAAAGTGCTGGGATTACAGGCATGAGCCACTGTGCCTGGCCCAAGACTACTATTTAATACTATTATAAGAGGTGCG